ACGCCGGCACCATAGCGTAGACCATGGATCAGCGATGAATAAGTAATTAGACGATCAGTCACGCACGCACGAGTTGAAGCGCTTCAATAAACACTTAGCCATTTCTCAGAGATGGCGGCATCCACAAAGAACTTCGGTTTTAAAGGTAAATATTTTCCTTGGTTATTAAGCTGTAACTTGGCGTCCTCAGGGCCCTTAGACGTTTTATTCCATCTGACCATCCAAAAAGGTTTTATTGTTCCTAAGAGTGTGAGTTTTGGTGCTAGCGTCAAGGCTGTATGGTTAAAATTAGATCCAAGAATAAGTATTAAGAGCCAAGAATTAAAATAACGTTACAAGAAAGTCGATTTACATCGAGCAAACTGTATCAGTCTACAAAACCATTTGTAATAGCAATTCTCTTTTATGTGAATTGAGATAGGTGTAGTTTCTATCTTCCAAGAAATCTGTAGAGAGCGTTATAGTATTGTCTACCTTCCGAGGCTAACGGTGCTCAGTGTCGCGGAAATTCACACCCAGATTACGCAGAAAGTTCAAAGTGCGGTAAAAGGTACAGTTCAGTAGGAGGTGCAGTTAAGTATTGCGTCATTGTGAAACCTGATACATTTTGGCTGGTAACTTGCACAGATTTCAGGACAAAATGTTCAATAATAATGTCCGGTATGCACCAGGAAATAAAAGTAAAATGAGAATAATCTTCACTTTGACATTTACTCCAAGCCGCACATGTTGATTATGTCTTACATAAGTTTCTGAAGACTTGAGGAAATCATTACGGTTGATTGCTCGTTTACTTTTATTGACATGCGTTTGCGCATCTTTCCGGAAAGTAATTTTAGTTATAGGACTTTCTAATATAAAATGGTAGAGCTGTATTGTATCTTCGTTTACAATCACAGTAATAACTTAGGAGTTGTTTATTACGTTGTACACTCGTAATTAGTGGACTATGAAGGTTCACTTGGCTCACACATACTTATATCAAGTGCTTTCATTGTCATATATCGCTACTAGTTCAGACCAGCAACTTGAACTTTGTTTAGGTGAATGCAATTACTGTCGTATAGAACAATGAATTGTCATATCTGATCTGAAATCTATGAGCAGATCGGAGGCTCAAAGGCGCACGCGTCACGTGGGCGGCCATATTGGCAACATGGCTACCGGGCCAGGGTCGCCAATCATAATTACACACGACAGCGGTATCCGATGACAACCAGTTGCACAATGACAATGAGTCGTTAATTCAATTGTTGGTGCTTTTAAATTGCAGAAATGTTTATTGTGGAGAATTCTGGAGCATGGATGTGGAGCAACAACCTGCGGTAACCTGCGCACGATTCGATGCAGACTGTAGTAGCAGAGAGCAGAGGTCAGTGAGCACCGGATTAGATTGTTGCATTCAAAGGACTGATCGGTCAACGACCTATTGATCTCCTCAAAGGGATATGACCGTTGGAAAGTATTTTTTCCTTATTGGGCTTTTCTCTGAATGTGCTTTATGTTTATGTAAATTTCGTGTCCAAAAAGTTTCTTACGTATGCAGAATATTTGTTGAAACTTTAGTTTTATTTTTTTTTGGAGTCGTGTTCAAACGATCAAAGTAAAAACAAAAATATAATCGATGATCAACCCATTAACCTGAGCTTGTAATCAGCGACGCGGAACGCCACAGGTTCGTTTCCCGCACACAAAACGCAGGAAACCACGCAGGAAGTCGGGTGTGGTGCGTATGAGGGGTTATTGTCTGTTCTAATGGGTTACAATGGGTCATAGCATTACTTGCCTCTAAATAACGACCCCAACGTTACAAGACTTACAAGTTTTGAATGCAATAAAACTAGAGAAAGTTGAAGAATAAAATAAGAATGTTTCTTTTGTTTTTGTATACAGATATGTCATAAAGTGGAAATAAGACTTGAAATAAAGTCAAAAATCATTTATTCCAATTAAAACAAAATTTTGAAGATATAGTGTCGGTCTGTCGGTCAGTCCTCTTAGTGAAGCTATTTGCTCGTTCCAAAGTGTAGATTCCGATGGAGAAGAACGAGCAAGAAACTCCATGGTTACTCTTTTTAAATCAGTTTCACATACAGATTCCTTTTACAAACAGTTGATTCAATTATGTGAGAACAGTGTAACACTAATATTATTCAAATATAAAATTCTTAGTTTAATAGGCAACATAATACAGACATGACATAGAATTCCTTAGATCCTTAAATAGAAAATACGGGTGCAGTACATTATAATAACAATGTAACATGGTTCGTGGCATTTTCTGTTTCGAGTACACACAAATGGTAATGAGTTTCCTCGACATGTAAATATACAAGTGGTGCTAGTATTTGTAAACAAATGACGTTGCTTTGTTCGTGAAGGAAAACTTTGTGAAAATTCTCAGCTCACGTATTACACAAAATGTGCATAGAAATGCACTATAATAAGTAGCATCGTCGTTGCATGCCCATGCAGATTTATCACATTTTATGTTGCACTGGCTTTATCCAAACTAATATAATAAATGCGAAAGTAACTCTGTCTGTCTGTCTGTTCTTCACGCATGAACTACTGAACCGATTTCTGTGAAATTTGGTACAGACATAGTTTGGAACTCGAGAAAGGACACAGACTAGTTTTTTTTACCAAAAATCTGCAGGAAGTCACTATTCCACGCGAACGGAATCGCGGGCAAAAGCCAGTAAAAGTAATAAATAATGTTTACCTTAAGGAAAGATAGATTGATTAGGGAGGCTGATCCTTTCTTTCTATTATTTTTTTTAATTTCTATTACCTACTACCTAACTTGCATAAATGTGAATATAATATCAGGTTGTATGTAAGGATGTACCTGTATTAAGCAAGTATCTAATAATACTTGTTTTTCTTTCACGCAAAACCTACCTATTATAAAACGGATCTAAACGAAAATTACCAGACGGATAAGTTACTTATAATAAAAATAAGCTACTTTTTATCAAGTTTAAAATTCAAGAAACAGAATGTTCATATTACTTTTTTAATTCGAAACTTATTTATATTTATGCATATGAAAATATACTAAAATTTTCCTATTAATGTGCAATGTTCATATATTGTTTTATCAGCAAAGTATTTTATGACGATTCCCACGTATGTGTATGCGTGATACAGTCAGTTCCCTCGCCCTATGACATTGTCTAGCGTTAGTGTACAGTCACATCGTAAATAAAAACTAACTTTGTTACTTGAAAATTTTTGATTAAAACTGATATACTTATATACTACATAAAATAAAGATTCCTGATCTCGATAAATTACATTGTTTTTTAGAAACGAGCCAGTATGTTGTTTTTAGAGACACTCGCCATTCAGTGCGTAATTTTTTGATATATTTTTTGATCTATTTAGTCGCAAAAAAAGTTTAAAGTACGTAGTTATTTTATCATATAAGTCAAAAGAAATCTCGATTAGGATGTTAATCGTTGTATGAAAGGCAATCATTGAGATAAAGCTTAAGAAAAAAAACGACAATGCCTGTCAAAACTGTTTCAATGATCAAAGACCCAGCTTCCATTAAATCCATTTAGCGACGAATTCAAAATTCCTTTTAAGTACCATGTTATTATGTGCACCGTATAATTATAGCATTGTCATGTTACATTCAATAAAATAACTTAACACGTTTTAATGCGATCGTAATGAACTATAATTAACTTTGTAACAACAAAAAAATAATAACTGCATACCAAGTTCAAGTTGATGTTACTTAAGTATAGGTTTTGTGTGATAAGACCTTGTTTTTAATGCGATTTATGAATGAATAAAAAGCAAATATTATTATGAGAAGGAAAATTTGTTACTGAAAAAACAAAAGCGTTGAAACGGATTTGGAACCTTGTTTAAATTGTTAAGGGTATCGTATGAATCGAGGTTGCTCTTTTTCTATGTTAGTAAATAAATTATTTGTGTGATCCACAAATTATTGCTCCATCGATAATCGTTATCGCTAGAGCAACAAATGTATGCAGATTTCTGAAGGTCATCCATGACTCACGTGGTCATTATTTCACATACATTTATTTCTATTGCGATAATGATTATCGATACTGAGCTTTGCTAGGGGCCTGGACAGGGTGTGATATATCCATGTAATAATTAATGAATGTAAGCTCATCCACGATACAAGAAATACAAGTTAGGGGCAATTTTTTACAAAAAAATAAAAACGTAACCATAATTTTGACCTTCTTACCCGACGGTACATAGTTACATGGTCGGCTTATAACAATGAGTGCCATGAGAAAATAAAACAATAAAATATGACTTTTATACCTTCATGACAATTGGGGACCTTTGCATTTTACTCGATAACCATCTTAAACGGTAATTGCCAGCTATAATTACACAGATTGCCAAATTGTCAGCGGTATATGTAATTTAACAACAAAACTACAAACAGCTGACGCACAGAGCAATTAGACCTTTACGACTGTACTCAGTAATTAGGTTTTCAATACCTTACGTATTCGTGATTATTAAGGTGTTTTAGAGATGATGATATCCTCAGATTAGAATTCATTATCATATCATGGAAAAAGGTTATCGGTTGCATATGATGAGAGACGACAGCGACGACGGAGAATGTATTTAGTATAAATCAAAAATTCTGTTGAAAATACCATCTGCGTTGCAAGAATAAATTTTAAGAGCCTAACTACTTAATTGGGTTTCTTAAAATTTTCACTTTTTTGAGAAAACTGTGAAACAAAAGACGGACCCACTTCGGCAGTGTTCCGTGTGAGGAAATTTATGTTTATAATGGTCATAGTAAATAAAATAAAAAGGTTGGCTTTATACAAGAATGCGGCAATTCCACGTTGCCACTGATATAACTTTGGCAAAGAAAAAATCGCGAGGAAACCTACAATATAAGTTTAGATGTAAATTCAGTTGTAGGTTTGTGGGGTGTGTTTACAGGTATTTTTTAATGATAATTATTATTATTTTTATATACTCACTGGCATGGTCGTCGTGCAACAGATTGTGATATCTGTGCTGCTTCTCCGGTGCGTCGAGCCTCATCATCACGCCGTTGTCACCACGACATAGTCATTATGCTGGAACAAACAGATTTAAGATTAGATGCCATTTTTGAGAAATCTTGTAATTATTCAAAAATTGTTACTTGCAATGCACGAAGTCTTAGGGTAGACAACACAATAATAGGGGATCTCCTGCATTTAACCTGTTATCAGCTTAAAATAGTACATTGGTAGGTCAATGTTTTTTGACTACGTAACTCTCAATATAATTTTCCAAAACTTTACTTCTATGCCAACTTCGCAAAGGTCACCTGATAATTGCGTAATCGCTGATCAATGCCGCTAACGCGTGTTGGTTGATGTTGAACATTAATTACGTTACACCTTACATATTTTTAGGTTAAGTAGGACACGAAACAGTGTCAATAATTCCCAAACGCCATACTTTTTGCATGTCAAGGCTAAACAAATAACTTCATTATGATGATAGGCATAAAAAAAGCAAAGAGTTTGTCAACAATTTTTTTTGTACAGCCACTTTTAGCTTGTAAGTAAATAATACAAGTACATACATCTTCAATCTGTCACCATTCTTGATTTTCAACGTTATACCATTACAATTAAGATCGAAAATCCATTGAAGATATTGGAGATTTTAGGGTATTAGGATCTGCTGTCAAGTTCAGTAATTCAATTAGCTACCACACCCACAATGATAAGGATCTGTAAATAATTTCGTAACTTAGATAAGTATAAGAGTGGGTTGCAAAAAACGCCAGTTGCTTAACGCCAGGGTTGTTGACCTGACGGCTGACTGTAATTGGGCAATTCAATTGATGTGATTGTGCTTTTATTGTTTGCTTTTTTTAGTGCTATAATGACCCTGGGATTTATGGATTTGGACAGCACTCCTTTATTCGTTTTCATCTGTGGATTCGTATTTAAAATTGGAAACTTTTGTTTTGTGTAGTATTTGGATTTTTTTATAGAAAACTTAAGTTGTGTTTCGCCGTGTAATTGAGGTTACTGGCAATGACGTATTATATATAGACACGTCATGAACCAACATCACGGCGCTTAAAAACGGCGAAAAAACTAGATAACTACTTCTACGAGTAAAGAAAGGGAAAGAAAATATGACATCGTATAGTGGAATGCCTTTGCTAGAGGGAGATAAATATACATCTTCAGTTACATCGGCACGTGACTATACCTTCATGCGCCGGCCGCCAAAAGATGGCGGGCGCCGGCGTCGAAAAATTAAATAAAAATAGGTTGTTTGGTGAACTTACGCATGAAATGACACATTTTTGTCTTTAACTTTTGGAGTATAATTTGTACATCGTCTGAACACACACGACGGCATGCTTTCTTTATGTTTCGCACAGGTTTACACACACGATATAAATTAAAAACAAACGTAGCGTCGCGCGGCAGGTTGGTGCGTAACTAAGCGCAATGTTTGCCTTCATTTCATGTTGTCATTTTAGAGCGCGGACAACGTATCTATAGTTTTATACATCATTGGTTACTGGAGGATCAATCTTTCCCCATCCTCAATCCTCAAATCCCCTATTATAAAATCCCAAATAACCTGTAAGTGGCCGGCTACGCACTTGTAGTGTGTGTGTGTGTGTGCAAATGTCCATGGGCGGCGCTGATTGCTTACCATCAGGTAATCAGATTATAAGTAAATTTTGGCAGATCGTGTACTACCACTGTTATAACTGCAACTCGTTTCTTAGGCTCTGTGAAACACGATTGTCACACCTGTTTTTTACCGGAAATGTTAACCAAATTGTTAATTAATACGCTCATTTGTAACAGTTAAGTACCTACCTATTACACTTTCAAAGTCAAAACTCGAAAACATTCCGTCGACGCAAAACATAAACATCGATAGGTAAATTAAAAAGTGAATCTATAAACACAAGACGAGATCTCAACAAAAACTCTCGTTGAAAAAGCTGACAGACACAAAAAACATTTCAAAATAGGTTTTATTTAACTCGTAATGAAATGTGTGCATGTTGGCGTTTAACACTAGACCTCTTTAGGCTAATGAGACCTAGATTCATCATAATAAGTCTGCCTGGCGAAAACGTGAGCAAATTAGCTGAATGTACATTACAGTAATATTTGTATCTAGACCGTGTTCTAGCCTTTTCGCGTGAGTCTTTTCATTATTTTAATAGATAATCGTACAAAATATTTCAATACCCAAGTAGCACACTTCAGCCGCCTTAAATCTATTAATGCTATAGGAGTACTAATCATGGCTATTTTATAGACATTGGCATTCTATACAGGGTTTTAGATAAGAACTAAAATTCTAATAGAATAAAATATCTAGTGTCCCTTGTTTTAAAACCTTTATTAGTTCATTACACTGAGTTAAGAGCAAATTGATTTGTTATGGACTATATTCGCACAGTTAAAAGCGCTGCTGTAGATCAATTATTCTATAGACTTATTATCACAAATACCTTTTGAGAATTGCGATTATTTGTAGACCAATTACTCTATAAATAATCAAAAAGGTCTTTATATGGATATGTTAGGCACTTTTTTAAGTCCATACTTAATAGAATCAATGACTAGATACTCTATAGTGTATATATATATAGATATATATAGTGAAACGCCGGCTTCCTCTTTCATTAGAGAATTTACGTTAAAAACATTTTATTTTAAGTGTATTGAGTATATAAAGGACAGCGTTCTGCAAGCATGAAGAAAGCAAAACATATTAAGAATACAGGAGGCTTTCGGAGAAAAGTGGAAAAGTATAAAAAAGGTATTTACGCGGGTATTAACGCGGAAAATTATAATTTGAATACCTTGGTAGGCTTGACGTTTCGACCCGGTTGTGCAACCGGGTATTTTAATGTTTTAATTTTTGTTATTGTATTTTAATAACCGCGAGATTAGATGGGTCCTTATCGCACTGTGTATACCAAAAGCCAACTCACACTGATCGGTACCTACATGCAAAGTCACATCACCACCCCCGAAATCATAAGCAATCATATTACAATTAAAATTCGGGCCATAATTTGTGACTCACCAGCTCGTGCATTTATTAAAGGTATTGCCAACTTCAACAGTCAGAATGGGTGTCCAAAATGTACATCGATTGGAGAGTATTCATATGAGTCGCATTGCAACGTCTTCCCAAGGTGGAGATGTCCCTTAAGAACCGATGAGGGGTTCCGAAATAAGACATACAGATCACACCATAAAATGGATAGTGCTCTTTTGCTATTACCTATTGATATGGTATTAGATATCCCAGTTGCAGACTCTCTACATTTAATCGATCTTGGGATAATGAAGCGGTGTTTAATGGGATGGCGCAACGGCTCTTTCAGTAACTACTAGACCAAATGGCGAGCTTCTGATATCATAGCCATAACGCAGTTGTTAGTGCAATCCAAATTACCGAAAGAAATTCATCGTGCAGTAAGAGGTCTTGACACAATTTCTTTTTGGAAAGCATCCGAATTTAGAACAGCTGCGGAAATAGATTCAATATTTATTTTGCAAAAGCGGGATATATAACTTGCCCCCTCGTGAATCTCTGAGAGAATTATTTAAAACGATAAATATCCTAACGGTACCTTGTCAGTTTATATATGAAAATATTATGTACGTAAGGAAAAATTTGCAATTATTTGAAAAAAGAAGCGATAGACATAATTTTAATACTAGAGGCAAAGATAGGCTGGCTGTGCCACGATTCCGTCTGTCCAAAGTACAGAAATCCTTTATGGGGTTCTGTGTAAATTGTTACAATAAAATTCCAAGAAGTGTATTAAATCTTAATGAACGAAAATTTAAAACTTATATTCAACGCGAATTATGTAGACAGGCTTACTACAAACTTTCAGATTATATTGAGGAAAAGAATGCCTGGCAGCATGTTGGTTCGGCTCCACTGGACAATACTCAAATATGTAGTCAGTAGTTATTAAAATTCTTAAAATTAATGAAACCTTGAATGAGTTTATTTATATAGAAGCATTCTTTTGCATTGTGAGTACGCATATGTGAGCGCCATGTTCGAGACAACAAAGAATTAAAATTTTAATGATAGATTAGATAGACCATCATTTGTTCCTTTTTAATAACAACTTGTCTCTGCATTGTTCTCACATAGGGGTACAGTAATGTATAAAAAATGTATTATTGGTGAATTGTAAAACAAATATTTTTTTAAAAAGAGTAACGATGGAGTTTCTTGCTCGTTCTTCTCCATTCGAAACTACAATTTGGAACGAGCACCTAGCTTCAATGACGAACAGACTGACAGACTACTATTCCATTTTTACGTTTTCAAAAGTACCTATTTATGGTTTAGTTGGAATAAATGATTTTGATTTGATTTGATTTGAACATTTTTATTGTATCTAGGTATTGTTGTTTTACAAAAATATTTACAGCCTGATGCTTATCAACATTTTTAACAACTATTTTGCGCAGTTACCATATGCTCCACTGAAGCCTATGCTCACCTACTCTACTTAGCATTGCTGAATCGTTATTTAATACATATATTGAATACTACAGAGAGATTTATGGAGAAGGCCATATGACCAGTAATGTCCATAACCTATGCCACGTAGTAGAGGAGGTAAGGAGATTCGGGATATTATCTTCATTCGATGCCTATCCTTTTGAGAATACTTTGCATCATAAGCGACTACTGAGGAGTGGCCATAAACCTCTACAGCAGGCTGCGAAAAGATTAATCGAAAAGACTAATATTTCAACTTACGGAAATTGAAGAGGTCCCTCACATAAACTAACAAACATAAAGACAAAGATTAAAAGATTTGATAAGTTTGATTAGAAAGCAATAAATCAGAAATACACTTTTACAAAACGATTGAACTTGAGAAATATTCAGTAAGCAATGATGGTGTCAATTGTTGTTTTCTTACTAATAATGATATTATTGTCAAGCTGCACTGTGTAGTTAATATAAATCAACATTATTATTTGTATGGAACACAATAAACCTATTTAAACCTATAAATACTGGCTCTTTGTGGTATTTGTAGCACCGAAAAATA